ATGGAAATTCCAGGGAATGAACGCAAGTTATTTTGGTTGGTTTGTTATTTAGTCAGTCTCACCACTTATCCAGCTGTCTCGCAGCAAATACTTCAGTGATCAAAACGGCAGGTGCTTTTCATAAAACTATGTATATCTAAACCATCGCACAGCCACGCTGCTCTAAATCCTAACAAAACAGGAGTTACTTAATTCATCTGCCACAGGAATAAACTCCGGGCGCCATGCTATCAGTTCTTTCCATGGCACAAGCATTTAAATTAGTATGTGGGCATTTTAGTGATGTATAAATGCAGCATTTAATACAGAAACCTGACACTTCTCAAAATGACCTAGTTTAACATTACATTGGCCTATATTTTTGTGAACGTAGGATGTATGGAAACGTAAATGAGGCAGAAAGAGAAATTTCCGTAATCCGTCGTAAATGTGCAACAGAAGAATGGGGCATTGAACATGACACATCCAAACATCTGGCAGTGAATAATAAATGGAGTGGGTATGTTCTCCTATATAATTATGTTTTAGTGAAGTGAATTTAATAGGTCTGCTCCCTGTCTCTGTTTCCCTCATATTTTTCACAAATTACAGTGAAATGTTGGTCCAGAGTTGGCTCTTGTGAGCTCGGTAATAAATCCTCGAGTTCCACTTAAAGACAAAGCTTTTTGAACCAGGTTAGCAACTGTCGCATGACTTTCCGTCCGTAAGTGTTATTACTAATTCACTCCGTAGAACAGAGTACACGTTTTTTCAGAGGTTATTAGTCACTCAACTTGAAAAAAAAAAGAATTTTATAGAAACCAAATATTCGTTAGCATTTTTACAAAATTCCTTACATTCAGTACACGGCGCCATACCACATTTCTTTAGTAGCACATGGTGTAGAGTTACAATCTGTTTTAATCCTTTCGTCTCTCCGATGCCAAAAATCGTGGTCTGTTAATAAATGCTTTGACAACTTTAGGTTTTAGATGCACTCTGGATCTCGTACAGACCCCATGTGCCGTGCTTTCGCCGGTAAGTGCATTGCAAACATCTGCAGTGCGCACTCCACAGGGCGAGGAAGGTACTTACAGAGCTATAAAAACCGGACGCTGCCATGATGTGTTTTGTTTGGTAGATACTTGGTTATCTCAATCTCGAACTTGAATTTTACATTGGAAATAATAATTTAACATTAAGATATGGACATCGCACCATAAACAGTTTCGAAATATAACAGATTTTTTGCTGTCAGCCCCCCCCCGCTGTACATACACATTCTGTTCTCTAGCTTGATGTTGCAATGAATGCATGTTACACTTCAGATGGATGGGCAACATTCCAGAAGACAGGTGAGGCTACTGTTCCTGACTTACTAGGCATCCCGTAGAGTAAGAAATATTTTAATTTATTTATTTTTTGTCGTTGTCGTAAGATACTTCGTGTATTTTCGTCTGGCAGTGAATCTGCAGATCTGACGAACAATTAAGGCATCATAAACATAATTATTTTGGATATTGTCAGTCGTCTTAGTTTTCAAATCACCACATTAGGCTTTTTCAGAACTTCGAATAATTTTTATAATCAAATTTCTGTACCTTCAGGGCTGAAGATGGAGGCAGCATGTCCCTATAAAACTGTGGTGTTTACCTACAAGTTCACACGGCGTTACAACCCAGAAGACAAACATCGACATTCGCTTCAATATTATCCGATACCTAGGTATTTCGTGTTCTCTCCCCTTTGGGTTTCCCGATCAAAAGTTTGTGTTCATTTTTTTTCGTTTCTCCCATACGTGCTGCTACTTTTTCCACCCTCCACATCTTCCTTGATTCCATATTCCTAATACACAGGGTGTCCATAAGTCGACGAACGATTTAAAGTGCGTAAGGTTCTAGATAAATGTTATTTTCGACATTATTAATAATACTTGAATTTCAAGTTCTTGTTTTGAGTAATGCAAGCAATATATTAATTCGGTGAGATTTTAGGTTCTCATGGCAACGAGTGTGAAGATTATCATTCATTACCTTTATTTCTTTCCTTTCTATTGTCGAAACTTCAGGTTCATGAGTGTAGAATATTTATATTCAGTTGAAGCTAACATGGGACGATCAACGTCTTTAAATTACCAATTATCCAATGCAATTTGCGGTCGTTTAATTGCACTGTTTTTTGTATAGGTTCATTGGGACCGTGGTAGGAATTCCACGAATGTCTACGTGTGTCCATAAATGTTAGGACAGCGGTCTGTGTCACTTGGTTGGAACATTGTCGAGTCCGATCACGAATACCAAGTTGAATTCCTCGTCGTCACTCACATGATAGAAGAAGAGACAAGGGGAGTGTGATGGGGGCTCAGGATAGGTCGACTTGATCACAGAAATAACAGAATCAGCCAGAATGTTACTCAGATACTAAGTATACAGACGAGTGCTTTTTGCAAACATCCACGAAAATCGTGTTGGGTTATTCGAATGGTATATAAAATGTAACTTTGATTTCATTAGAAGGATCCTATCCAGTCATGCTAGTGTTTAGGATATTGAGCTGGTTTGTTTTCGAAGACATGAAAATAATATTGACGTCGATCTACTGAGAGCTGAAGACAAGAAGATTCCTCTGTATTTCGTGGTAGTTATACGTCGTGGATGTTACTTCCGTACAACAGCAAGCGTACTACGTGTACCAGGCTAAAAGTAAAACAACTCTTCTACAACAAACTACTGACCATCATGAACATGTTTCTAGTTTGGGGTTTGGTTCTGAGCCTTAACATTTTTTAAAAAGTTATGAAACTGATACCCAACACGCAAAACGAATGCTTTTTTCTTGGTTGTCTTTCCTTCTTGTTTTATTGAAAGAAATGTTGAACATAAAACATGTTACTTAACTCCAGCGTTAACATAGTCATTTATTTTGTTGTTTTTCTCAAATTATAGTTAACAAATTCCTTCATTTGTACGCTCCTGACTGGATATGGCTAGTATACATGGTTTTCGTTACATACGTTTGGCATTTTAACAGATTTAATGTAATGTGAACATAACTTATGTCCGTATGAGAGGCCGACAGTCTAAAAATTATGAACCAATACACAAACTTTATAGGCAGCTTGTAAATTCTCACCTGGCAGTGAGCGAAGTTTCGCTTGTAGCAGCGACAGATTCATTTTATCCGACTTTCAGGCCCACACGAGAAAGCGAGAAATGAGCTAGCTGATGAGAATAAAATATCTGAAGAAGAGACTTCAGAAATATATATTTTATACGAGATTTTTTGCAAACGGCTGTTAAGATGTACTTGGTCTTTGATTTGTAACGCCATGTGGGTTTGTAGGTGGGTACCAGAATCTAGGAGAAACATACTATATCCATTTTCAGGGCTTCAAAGACCAACATCGTCATGTATTTTACAACTTACCGAAACGAACATTTAGTTCGGGAGCAGAGAATGGGGGTGACTTCCCAAACTTCCACACATCTGACCTGTGACGTTCTGTGCGTGCCTTTCATCGAACTACAAATAATACCTGTATACCAATGATACCGAACAGCATCACAACGAACATAACGAGGTAATGATGGGCACCTTTCCATCTATTGTGATTTTACGCTTCATATTGTTTCCCGAAAGCGTCATATTTAACTAGGGTACAAACTCGACAGATTATCGGGACATACAACAGGAGTACCGCTACTAAATATGTGATCTGTTGCCCATTGTATAAATAAAATTACAAATCGACATTAAAATACCAGTTGGCAAGTATGCCACTTTTGCGCAAGTTATTAGCTGAAATTCGGACATGTAACATATATACTACACACCACGGCCGATTTAGACATTTTGGGGTTCAAAAATAATTTTAATACGAAGAAAATAAAAGTACTGACATTTAATGTATGAACTCAGACAGAAGTGAAACAGCAAACTAATAGGAAATACTATAAATATATGCCTATATACTACATATTTCATCCTGGAGTCATAATTCAATGTTTCTTCACAATGAAATATTTTTGAAGAAAATTTGATTAAAATGCCTTATTTAGATTTGTTTATACCGAATTTAATCTTGTGAATACGTGAAATACAATTCTCATATATTAAATTATAAAGATTTTAAAATATTATAATGAAAGTAAAACATTAAAATAATAATGGCAGTCTTCTGCGATCTTGTTCCGTGTAGTCTGGTAGATATTAACAGAAGTTTCAGAGATACTGACTGCGTGGGAAGAGTACTAAATGCCTGTCTTCGGGGATATTGCGCCGTGTACCCGGCTTCATGGTGCAACTCCCCAGGAGACTGCCAATTTCATGCTCGTCGCCATGAGATCATAACATCTCACATAAAAACATATACTTCCTTGCCTTGGATTTTCTCGGTCAGACTTTTATGGTATAACTTTGAACTTCGGGAACATCACTTCGTTCATGACATGAATGGAGTCGCCATATTAGTGCAATATTGACGCCCCCCCCACCTACCGACTGTCCCAAAATTAAATCACAGGCAGTCATTGAACGTCGCTTATATATGGTTAGTCCTCTTGCTTCATATTTGGGAGGTCTACGGTTCAAATCTCTGCCTCGAGACGGGCTACAATGACCGAGAGTTTTATTGATTTTTCTCAGGCCTTATTGACAATTCCTCCAGTATCTAAAATATTTTATCCCTTCCTCATTCTTTTCAGTTTATTATTTTATCATTAACGAACTTTCTAATAAGCGACGTTTTAATCTGTTCAGTTTAAATGGCGTCGTTAACTACCTTATAATATATATATATACACACACACAAAATAATTTGAACATTTTCCGATTATTTGAGGTTTGGAGTGTATACAAAAACCCGGCATTGTTACACGTGTATATATCTACGCATACATAAACAAGGAATGGTATGTTTATAGATCTATAATTTACATATGTTATTCCAATTACAGCGACACTTGTTACCCACGTCAGAAAATATGTAACTCTAAGGGATAAATACACACAGAAGTACTTACTTACGATTCCATGTGTCTGAAGCAATGTCAGTAATGGTATTTTTTCACTATTTCTGGATTTTCTCTTGATAACCTGAAATAAAACTGCTGTAGAAATGCCCACTATTGTGTTAAAATATGACGAAAGAAAAATTGTTTAAAGTCAGTAATCATTAATCGTTGTCAAACTAATTTAGTTAGCGGAACATTTGACAGTGCCGCGCAATGAAAACTCACGATTCGCACGCCAACACAATCCTCCTAATTCATCCGCAGTACTGAAACACCTTAGCTGTTGGGAAGTATTCCACACCTCTCGGTTACCCCACTACATTTTCAAGACACCATGACACTCGTTGCGACCTCTACGGTAGGAATTTGAATCATATCTTGTAGAGTTGTTCCTAGATGGCAGTGCCTTAACTGATCAAATGTAGTACTATATTAATTTGGTAAAGCATTGATAACCGTGCAGTATATTAGTTTCTAAATGTAATATTGACATTTAAAATAATATTTTGTTTTAATATTTGTTAATGGTGTCTGTTACCTGCATTTTATTCTCCATTCAGAAATGGCGGCATAATAATTGAGTACCTGTGATCGGACTTATTAAAATTATTATATGTTAAAACATTTTTATATACTATAAAAAATGTAATTTATATAGAATTGTATATAAGTAGTCCAGTGCTTTAAATTATAAATGGTACATAATAACATAATTATTCTAACAAGAACTCGTAGCGCTATCTATATGCGTTGCAAGTTGTACTTCCTGTCTACAGCTTCCTTTCCACGAGGATATTATCAAAATGCAGAAGGTCGGTTTTAGTTTCCTGTTCATTACAATTTATATTTTTGCAGTTCTTCTTTAAACATGAAATTAATAAATATTTGCTCAAAATTTTCAGCCAGCCAAGGAACCGATCCAATCCGTGCAGGTGTTCGGAAGGAAGGTAATAGTGTATATTTCTGTTTGTCAAGCACTTATTTACCGTTGTATTATGTTGGGTGCAACATATGCGTGTTGATTTTCTAAAAGTGTAATTGTGAAGTTCTTTCATTTCTTAGAAAAGTGCAACTGCTGTAGCATACTGCAGGAGAGGCAATGGCAATCTTAGGGTAAATGGCCGACCCCTTGAGATGGTAGAGCCCAGAGTACTGCAGTACAAATTGCAAGAACCTGTTCTGCTTTTGGGGAAGGTGAGACTTCTTTAAATATATATTTGTTTTGTGATAGTAGTACATCACATAGTCACTCCTATCGAAAAAGTGACATGTAGTGTGTGTCAATCACTTTTGAAAATTTCTTGTAACTTCAATTAGGATGTTGCTGTTTAAGATGGTTCTGCAGTGTTGGTATGTTCATTGCTTAGAAGCTGGATAATTATAATTGGACTATGTTTTTTTTATAATTAACCGTTATTATCAGTTTCAAAACTTACATATTGCTTAAGTGATCATGCATTCTAGTAACTGGTGAACTGTTAACTCAGGAGTTGAAGTCCAGTTACAAACTCAGTAGTGCTAGGTTGTAAATCCTCGAAACCTAAATACCCATTTATTATCATCATCATCCCACATTTTTTAGGGCCAATGGCCTGTTATAGTCTCATTTCAGTGTAGGGTTTCCCAAAGATTGTGTGGTACTGCTACTGTTATTAGTGATTACTGAATAAGATTTATCTTTCAGTGTCCTTTAGTCATTAATCTGTGGAATTATAAGTCATATTAGTAATTTTCATTGCATCATTAACCTGCCAAGGCAATTGAGTTATGATCAAGTTTATATTTTGCAAAGTATTTAGAATTGTTTTCCTACATTGTTGTCACTAGCATTCTCCTTTTGGCCTGATGAATTTGAAACATTAATTTCTCCATGTATTATTTATCCTGACTTGGTCATTCAGATCTCTTCCATGAGTGTGTACAAATGGGTACAATTTGGGGAAGGAATGCATGTGACAACTTCATGAACTAATTGTTCGTCACCACACTGTACATGTAGTTTCCTCTCATGTAATCACCTTTCATATGTGTACAAGTACTGATGAAAACAAATTTTAATGCTTTAAGAATGAGTACACTCCTGCTTAGACAGGTAATAATTGTTTGTTACATAGTTTGATGCCTGTGCTGAATACAGTAAAAAAATCCTTGCCCCTTGAATTTCTATGGCCCTTTTCCAGTGGTAGTTTACAGTTAGCCAATTACTTTAGATGTGATGAATTGTTATGTATGGCCATGCTCAGACTTTTTTCCCTGTGAGGTGTGTACTATCTTAGTGTGTTGTATTATATTCCATTAGAAGAAAGATATGGGTTTATATCAAAAGTACAAATAAATTTTTGTGCATTATGCTTTTATAGACAATGGTGTACTGAGTTTCACAAAAAAGTAACACTGATTTGAAATGGTGTATTATTGTTTACCAGTGATGAGGCTTTTATCCCGAAATTGATCATTTATGGTATGAAATAATTAAGCAGCCTGAGGTAAAAAACTGCATTTAATGTTTTATCTATATTGCCAGGTTTAAAATTGTGACAATTTATTACTCACTTTCAGGAGCGGTTCTCTGGTGTAGATATCAGAGTCAGGGTGAAGGGTGGTGGTCATGTGGCCCAAATATATGCAATTAGACAGGCTATATCAAAGGCATTAGTGTCATACTACCAGAAATGTAAGTAGAGCTGTAAAACTGTTTTTTAACAATTTTTATGGAATTCTGAGCCCCTTCTAGCAGTTGCCAATCTGGTATGATTTAACCATGGCCATGGTCTTCCACATCATAACTCTGCATTCATAATCTGTGTCAATACTCCTTTGCAACTATGTAAGGTGGATCTTTTTTTATTGGTGTTCCGATGTGTGTTGCATGTGCATTTTGTCCTTGCAGATGTGGATGAAGCATCAAAGAAGGAAATCAAGGATATTTTAATCCAATATGATCGCACATTGCTTGTAGCTGACCCGAGGCGCTGTGAACCGAAGAAGTTTGGTGGCCCAGGAGCTCGTGCACGTTACCAGAAGTCATACCGTTAATTTCATTATGTATTTGTCTGGTGTTTCATATATGTTGTAATAAATACATCCTCAACTATATTTGTATATTTTACATACATCACAAATGGCAAATTACTTGTTGTGGAGCAGATGCCTTTAGTCTTAGTCCAAGCTTTTCTGTCAAGTTTGTACCAGATATTTTGTCACAATGTGAGTTTGGGTACTTGCCTTCTATTGGTGCATCTTTATCAGATGTTGAGCCTTCTATCTATACTAACAGTTCTACAAATGTAAGAAGAGACCCTTGGGGTCAATGTTTTGTGCACTTTCATGTTGACAAGCTGAAAGGGCTCACCATGCACTTCATATCTTTGTAACAGAAAACTTACTTTTGATGATAAAGTAATTTACTGTAACTTGTGACTAAAAGTATAAAGAGAAAACTGAACAAAAGTAAAATAACCTATTTACATTAGATTTGTCAACTGATAATGAAGACCAAAGGTGCACATTCATGAGTCGGTGCATCAGGAAATCTGCCTACTCATCATATTTCACATTGACTTAACTGCTCACACCAACCATTTATATACATGTAAGACTTGAGGTTCTCACAGCGCAACAACCCAGAAGACGGATATCTTCATTTATATACAGTACCATGGCTTATTACAAGGCCATAAACACAAGTACACCCTTATTTATTGTTTTTGTTTCTATTTTTAGATGTTTATTGTATTCGGTTTTATGCTGCTTCTACTGTTTTTCTTTTTTTATTCAATTTTGTTCCACCCTAGGTGACAGCCTGCTGTGCTTAGTGGTTGAACTGGAGGTGATTATCATCCTTTGATTTGTCTGCAAAATGAGCCCATTGTTTATGTAGTCTGACTCATGAACACAGTCCAGCATCAGAAATTATTTCACAAATGTGACGACCAGGGTTGTGGAGTCTGAATCGGAGGCAATTTTAGGAGGAGTTGGTAAAAATGTATCAACTCCGACTCTGACCTGAATATAGAATCTTAAGAACAATTTCTATACCTTGTGAGGTGGCGGCATCACGCTTAGGGAGATTCAAGGACGTGTTGAGCCACATGGTGTGGGAATAATGCTTTGTAACTTTGGCTCTGGTACCTTAAGAATACAAACTGTCTACAAATCAACCAATTTCTGCAATAACCATTAGACGTATATTTAAATATAGATTTTAATCTAAAAAGAAGGCTGATGATACATGTGGTGATGAAATCTATTAAGTTGCCATTTACCATTTTAGTAGTTTTACCCTTATTAATACATATTGAGCTTTTATGAAGGAGTCAGAAATTTTAGTACTGAATCCACAGCCCTGGTGACAACTTTCTCAGTTACTTTTTGCCCTGTTGAGTATGGTTGCCATGTAAAGGAAACACAAAAACATTAGAATTTTGCAAAATTTGTATTTCTGGAATGTGAGTGACAATAAATAGAAAAGTCCATGACAGTTTGCTGCAAAAGTTTGTTCCCTGGAAATGTGCATGGCAAGAATGTGACTGTTCGCCAGTGAAGTTTCAAGGCAAACAACACAGCCTCGATTGCACGGATCGGCAAATCATGACTTGACTGTGGATGTACCAACAAGTCTGTCATTCAGACAATTACAATATGAATTCAATGAACCTCTCACAAACCGTAGTAATTGTGTTTTTAACATTTTTGGATGTCATTAATGTTAGGTAAATTCCTGTCCTCACGAAACCCCCAAAACCTTCCTCGCAGTGGTGAAATTGGTCATTACGTGAGGATGTGCATTCTTTGCATGAAGTACCGAGACATGGGATGTTGGACCTTACGTGTGTGTAAGATTTTTGTAGTATCTTCATTTTTAAAGCTAACCGCTGATCGTATTTTGAAGTTGACGGCGCGCAGGTTTGCAGTCGCGCAGCGGAGCCGCCGCTGCGGCAGAACCCTGGCTATGGCCGTCTAATTCTGTCCCGTTGCTGTTCCTCACGCACTCTGTTGTGTCTTGGTTGGGGGCGCCAATCGTGGCTCCAGTCGCCAGACGTCGCTGCGTGAAGTCGGGCTTATCAACCCGACGAAAGGAATAGGAATTCCTGGTCCGGGCTGGTCGGTCACTCGCTACTCTTTATCTTGTATAGGTGAGTCAGGCACAGTTGGTGATCTTTTCTTGCGGATTATTCTTCAGTTGCTATAAACTACAAAGATTATCTTCCTCGCGTCGAATGTGGTCTAGTGTTTTGAGGTGACCGACGCGTTCAAGCCGGCAAGAACTTAGCGTGGCTGCAGAGGGAGGAAGCACTTCAGAAGTTGTGCTACTGAAATCTTCAGGTACGACAATTATTTTCTGAACTGTGGTGTGCGTGTACTGCGAAGGTTAATTTCATTCAAGCAAGCATGCCAACGAGGAACGACCATTTCTTCGTTATTAAATAGCTGGTTTGATTTATCTTACTTTTAAATCACTTGAATTTGTTTACTTTTCTGGTCATGAGAATTTATGAACAGATTTTCATTTAATATTTTATAATTGCAAGATAAAGTAATATTCCAAAGAAAGGGCATGTCTGAACAGTTTTAGAAACGTTTTCTGAAGACGTAGCCGATTAAACCGATTCTGTTCTAACTTGAGTAAAGTGAATGGAAATTAGTTGAACACTTTCTATTTCTTTGCATTGAGCTCAGCGTTGTCTGTTTAGCAGATCATGTAAGGCTGCCAGCCGTCTTCAGATTTATAGCTGATTACAATGAACAACTTTTTACTAGATCAGAGAAGCTTCGATAGAGTATCGTGGTGTTGGCTGGCCAAGCCTAGCACACAAGGTCGCCTCTGGAGAATTTCTGGAATAACAACACAGATACAACCATATTACTCTAGGTACTAGGCTTACTGTACTGGGCATTTCCTATTTCTCAAACCACGCTGATATTTTACATTCTACATGCAATATATTAGAGAACATTGCGTATTTTTAAAAGATTTATTATTGAATAATTTCAAAACTCTGTTATTTAATTTGAGCTAATGGCTCTCGCTACTCGTAAGTCCGTGCATCCGCCATGGTGTCATTACTAATTCTAGGGAATTTAAGGGTACGAAATAGAAGTGGCCTCCGGTTTATACCAAAATTTGTTACAAACCGCCAGCTGGTTTGAAAGTTGACAATGAAACAGACACACACATTGTGATATAAGCCTAAGTATTTCCTACAGGGATGGAGAGCATTCTTAAAATCTAGTGTTCAGATAGTATCGAAGTATAACAGAACTAGGATCACGGAATTTCGCAAAATGTGCGCGTTTTTTTAAAGACCTCGCTAATTCAGTTCGTTGCGTTTCTATTTTACACATGCTGATCAAGCGTTATGACTTGTTCCAATTCATAAATGCTTTGAAATTATGAATCAGTTTCTTCATTTGGAAGGAAACTTTGGATGGGTGATTAGCCGTCGCAAGGCCTTTGCCTACAGAGGACAGCACAAAACAGAAATACGAGGACAAACTTCAATGCTTTGAGCGGGATACAAACCCACGATTCTAATCTCCAAGCGGCTAAGACCCACACCCTAGAATTATCGACATCGTATTAATTATCTATCTAATAATCCCAAGATCTGGACAATTTAATAGCGAATTAAAATATGTTTCTTTTGCTAGGTACTTCCGTGAAATTTTGCCACGTCTTTGCAGACAGATACTGTTTTAACTTTATGAGACATGAGTTTCTCACGGTTATGAACATGTCGATGTTGGTCTTCTGAGTTGTTACGCCTTACGACCTAGAGGACCAACGTTGACATTTTAACTTGGTTTCTTAGACTGGAGACGAACTACGACGGGCAGAATTTAGTCCATTAGGAACTGCTGGGACGTGTAAGTAGAGGAGATCAAGGAGAGTGATTAATATTTTGGAGCTGACCGTCACGATTAGTCTCATGTATGGCCATTGACTATCCACTGACGATTGATCTAAATTTTTGAGCGACAGGGGTATTCCGGTCGGTCATCATCAGAGCTATCGTTCTTATAATGGAGGCAACAAGCACCTCTGAAACGTCGAAAAACGTCTACGAGACTACACGACACATCTCAGAAGACAGGTATTTTTATACTCGCAGCCGTGAGAACTTGAAAACGCACTAATTTTAGTGTTGGATGTAAAGTTTATCATGCATCTGGTCAAGAGGAAATCATTTTTATGAAGATTTCTGTCTTCTGGGTTGTTGCGCTGTGTAGTCTGGTCGATGTTAACCAACGTTTCAGAGGTCATACTGCCTGAAGACAGAAATCTTCATACTCACCGCTGTGAAAACCTCAAATCATACAAATCATTTTTAGTCCGTAAAACGAAAATGCTTGTAGCCTAAAATTTACAGTAACTCAAAAATTCGGTAGCCGCTTACTGTTTACTTTTGAGCTGCTGGTCACACAAAGAACGTGGCGGTTTGATAAACTGTTATTTAGCCTCGAACCACCTTTGGCATCAGTTGTGATCCTCAAGAGGTAATCGAACTTACACTGATCAGTGTAGTCTGCAAAATGACAGGATTAGTTCGTGCTCGTTTAGTCTTCTGTAACTTTCATCTTGGCGCCAGGCATAGTTCTGTTCACTTGGTTCTTTTATTCAAAGAGGTCTGCATTTCATTTTGTAGTGTTGGTATCTCTGCCAAAATGCGAAACAAAATAAATGCCGAAGAAGTGTGCTGCTCTACTTCACCCAAACTTATTATATCCATCCATAATTTCTGACCTCAGATAATTCTTACAGAGACTTCCTTGCAAGAACATCTAGTGTATTAAATTCGATGTTTGTAGTAATTATGCGACAGTCAGATGTTCAAACTATACAAATGACATATTTCGTAACATTCTTGCAGCCGCATTGTCCCAGAAAAGGCGAAGCTTTCCGCATACGAGCCGGAAGATATATTCTAATGGAATCCTCGAACTTTGTAGCTGCCTTGTGCTCTAATCTGTTTGGAGTTTCGTCAGAAACCCTGCCAACAAACACACATTCCTTACACTCACCTGGTTGTCCCCATACAGTGAAACCCTCGTTTTAATGTCTGAGTTCACGACTGAGATAAAACAGAGGTATCATTCCAGTGCGAAATCCACAAATCGATAATTAATTCCATGAACGGGTGAGCGTGATAATGAATGCTGAATGGTTGTATATGTAACTCCCTGTCTTTTCTGCTTTGATGGCGTGATGCTAGGCATATGGGTTAATTATTAACTGCATTACCAGTTTAAAGTCCACTTGTAAACCACCTGCTTTAACCAGGCAGAAAGGCTGAATTTTGTAAAAATGTGTTTAATATGATTTTAATTGTAAGCAAGGATTATTTCCTTCCAAATTAATTGTTTCAATGGAGAAGTGTTTCGTTTCGTTTGACTAAAGGACTGAATTATAAAATATTATTCAAACGAGCTCCGGCTTCAAAGGATTAACACAGAAAATAGTAGCTCATGTCCAGTCTTCGTAATTTACAAGTTGGAGGTTATTCGAATGAAGGTGATGGACGAGAGATAATCAGTATTATTTAACTCTGCAGTTTTAACAGTCATCTTCCACTATTTGTCTTTCAGTGATGTGATTTAATTAGCGTATATCATATAGTTTCACTGTGTTTCCCTTAATGTCTTTGAGTATTTGTGTATTTAAAATTCCACCCCGACGACTCTAGAACTGACCTATGTGTATCTGTTTTCTTCCAGATCCCTTGCCCACTCTTCTGCTATACAATGATTCAAGTAGATGAGTCAGATCCGGTTGGAGGTAAGGAATGTTAAAGAACATTTCATGCTTTCACAGTGATTCAGTATTAATATGGATCCTGTTTCGGGTAATGGAACCTTGAAGGCGTAGTCTATACTGCCGACGTTTCGGCGATATTGTCTCCGTCTTTAAGACGAAGTGACAACATCCTACATTACGTAGCGATGTGATGGACTCAGCAAATAGTAGAATAAGTATTTGGGCCGGAAAGAGGTGCCTTACACTGTAGAAACAACTATTCGTATCAGTTCTAAATCCATAAATATAGTAACCTATTGTGTTAGTCTTACAGTTAGACAATTTCTTTTAAATAACACAAGCCTGTGTAGCTTTTGGAAGCTCGATAAATAGGTCGGATACACCTATTTTCCATCTATTATTTTCAGGAAAATATAGTAATATTTTGTCTGACACGCATTTAGACATTTAGCTCCAAAATTATTTGTAACTTGAGATGATATGCCATTGGAATGCATAAACAAAGAGATGTATCGTTGTACGCCTCAAAGAAATTGGTTTACACCTGATACGTAGACAACCCACCTAACGCGATATTTTAATGGCTAACGGCTTGGCAGAATGATCTCTCACGTATTTTATAAGACTGACATTTCGCCTAACGCATGTTGAATGTTTTCTTCATCTAATCATTCATTTTAACTTGTAATTTTGACTGTTTGTGTGTGTACGATGTAAAATCAGAATGTGAATGACTCAACAGCCGTATGTAGTATGCTAATAACACAAGATGATTTATTTACCTTTACACTACATACCTCTCGTCGACCTACAGAAAGACCTTCATTTAAATTCAAGTTCGTATCAATGCACGCCATCTCTCTTGGCTTAAAATAAGATAGTGCTCAGTGGCGGCTCGTACATTAGCACTGAGTTCTGAAATTCCGTGAATGTGATTAGCTCTTATGATGCGGATAACAGTGTCAACCTCAAGATTACCGATGATACGATGTAGTTATTATGAAATTCCAGTGAGTAATTAGCTTACGAATTACAGATGACAATGTCATACCATTGAGATGAAAGACCTATTACGAGAAACTTTGTAACATTCGATACCTTAGCATAGATTGCATGTGGCTGTTCAACTTATCACTTGTTCTTTTTTACGACTACCGATTCAGTTCTCAGGACGAATATTGTTGCAGATTGTTCTGGGGGCTGTGAACCGTCTTTTTGTCTACAATTCATTATTTTTCCCCGAGAGAGAATGCAAGGTTTGTTTGTAATAGGAATTTAGATCTGTAACTATATAGTTCACATTGATACGTTTAGAACAGCTGACACGAAATACAAAAAGGTGTCTATAAAAGCACTCAGAAGGAATTAATTGAAGCATTTAATCTTTAAATTTGTTTTATGAGTTTCTTGGCAAGAAATTTTAAGAAATACTTTACGTATTTTTATAGTACTGTATGTCGTCACAGAGAAACCAATTTCATGGAAGAAAAGTGGGCCATCCTCTATATCTGTTGCTATAGTTCAGCTATACAAGCTGTTAACTCACGCGATCATGCCTGCCTTGCTCTCTGAAAGCACTACTAATTTGGATGATCCGTAAATGGGATTATTTTAGAAACATTTCTAAGTCGTTAATATATATATATATTGCTGATATGCTGTTAGGTTAATAGGATAAACTGCGAAGTACATCAAGAGTGAATATGATCAAATTATACAATTTTAAGCTAGATTTGCTATGAACATTTACACCGTGTTTATTAAATTATGAGCAAATAGGATTCCTGCCTGGTTTTTATTAAATGGCGTTACCGTTTATCAGATAACTAATTGTGTTAAACAGAATCCTTCTTGAGAAGATATAAATCGCTTATCTTGTCAGGAACTTACTCTGCTCATAAGAGCCAACCACCCGCTCTTATCCTGAGTCAGATAAATTCACTCCGCATCCTCCATCCTTATTCTTTGCAATGCATTTTAATATTGTCTTCACAATATAATTATCGATGTAAAGTTAATTACACGTAATTGTAATTAGCTGTATAAAACAAACGTGGCCTGTTATAAATATGGGAATGTGAAATCTGTGAACTGGCTAGCTAAATAACCGACCAACTAACTAATTAAATTCCTAGGTAAAATATATTCCTTGATCGTCGACAGTCTACCGATCAGACGATTGAGTGCCGTGATTACCATAGATTTATTACTTTCTATTAGATGTAACGATAAACTAGTATGAGCCTTTTACATTTTATTTGCAGACTTACAGACTATTATTATATATCAATCCTGCGTTCAAGTTTCAATTAATTGAACTGATTTTACTTAATGTACAGGATTCCCATTATTGCATAAAACTTTGTCGCACTTCGAGGTTTTTAAATCAAACTAGTTGTGTAAGAGAGAGATTGATAGATGTAGTAATTTTGACACGTAAACAGAACATATTACATAATGAAGTGGTTATTTCGATGAACCAGGCTGTGAGTATTGAAACTATGAATAGCAAGTTTAAAATGTTAATATTTTTTTATGTAGTCTTTCACATTAATTATTTTAAATTGCTGCGGGACCATTTAACAAAAACCTTTGAATGCCAACATAAGACTCAATAGATAATGTTCAATTTCATTGAATTCTCGCACAAGTTGACATGGGATATAATTACATTGCCTGATACACATTTCTCAGCCCAAATGCAGGGAACTTATTTATTCAGACGTGAATAGCAAGTAAAGGAACCCCAAAACGGACAGCTGGTGCCCAAGCAGATTCACTAGAGGAGTCCTGTACCCAGCCATGATTCAGTGTTGCAGAGAACCAGGAAATTTTCACTTGAAGACGTGTTTTGTCGCGTTTAATACACAAACACCGCTTCGCTTGTTGGATGTCGACGCGAAGAATGTGGGCTCACGGACTCCGTCGCCAAGAACAACAAAAAGGTGTACTCTGAATACGTATATTTTGTGGCTTATGTATTTGGCCATCGTGAATTCTTCTTATCTTGCGGCTAAGGTGAAGGAAGAAATCCACATTTTTAGATGGAAGAACAGAGTGGGCGGGATTTTCATTTAACCCCAGTGACACTGAAGATGGAGATCCTGAAAGACAGAGACGACCTATACTTCACTCTTTTTGAAGCCAAAGCTCGTCTAAATAATATTTAGAATTTCAGTCCGTACCTAATAAAACACAAGAGTTCTTCACGATGTTACTGTATAAATATACATGAGGTAAATCGCCGTTTATTAACAGCCCTCTAAACGTCACTTTCTCTGCTACAGTAGGTGCTCTCAACATATCAAGGTATAGGATTGCACTCACCTTCATTGACTCAGGGTCCTCTGAGTCATGACAAATTATTAGACATGTACAGGCAAATAGGTTCACATATTATGTAGTTATTTTAACACATTTATTTATCATTCTTATTAACTATTCACTTCAAATTATGTAAATATTAAACAGTAAACACTTTTTTTATCATATTGGTTGAAACAATAATACAGAAATATGTATGTGTCGTACGCATCTACGGGCCGCAGACTGCAAATCCCTGGGCGGTGTAATTTCATTCCGAGTTTCATTCATCCTATTTAGAGAAAGGCACAGCGACTTTCCCTGGAGTGAGAAACCAACTTATATGAGACCATTATTGATATTTATATGTGTCATTGTTTGCAACGTTCTGTTCCCTTAGTATGCTATAATCTTCTTCTCTACTATAAAAATTTCTGATTCCCCGTTGTCGTCAAAAAATGACGTCATCAAATAATGTTACGTTATATTTGTTTACTCGGCATTGTTGTTCCAACACAACAATGCCGAGTAAACAAATGACTTGAGTAAGACACTAAACTAACTCCCCCCGAAGGGGGGGTTGGTTGCGTTTTAAAAACTTGACCAAACCCCCGAAGAGCTCCGAAAGGAGCGCTCTGCTCTAGTTGTCCTAAAGTTTGCAACCACAACATTTTAATTGTATAACATTTAACATTGTTTTAGTCTTTTTAAGTTACATTGCTGTAAAGCCGTTTTAGTCCAATATCCATGGAATCAAAACGTTACTTTGACAGAAATAGCGAATTTTTCCCCCGAGTGTGTTGTGTTGTAACAACGAAATGGGGGAAAGGGGGGGGTGTGCCAAGTGTCTGCGTAGCCAAGTTGGCAGGCATGCCTGTTTCCGAAAGCTGTCTCACTGCTATGAATATCCGTCGTGCCAATGTCTCTAGGTTGCAGCATAAAGCCAACATCACTCTTAACTCACCCTCCGCTTTGCTGATCTGATGGTTGACCAAGTTTCTATAAACCCCCATGTACAGCATCGAAAAATTAACTCGCGTAATTTACACTCTGCCTTTATGACCGTTCCCAGCCAGTTTTAGACTTTCAAAAAATAAGCCACGACCGCTTCCTTCCACATCACTCAGCTAACACAATTCCTGATTATTGCACTGGGCAGTGCACGCATAATCTTTGCGGTTTTTACAGACCCCTTGCATAAGATCAAAAATGTTCGATCCAACAGAAAAAGTATGTGATATAATCTAAGTTTTACCTAGTACCTAAATTTTTAAAAAAAAATACTGGTCCAGTATCGTCTGTGCAGATCAATTCTTTGCATTATTTTTACCTGCTTTTTTAATTTCATGGTTTTATATTTAAATAATGCTGAACTGTTTGCCAAACAGTTTCCGATTAAAACCGACAATTACAACAAATTTAATGTATTGTATTTAAAATTATAACTGAGAACGTTTGCCTCAGAATCAAGGCACCACTCTCATATTCGCGTTACCAGTGAACCGGCTGTGCCGACTGGAGTTTCTCATTGTTTCCTCCAGTTCCCTAGCCGGGCAAAAGATTGCGCTTAACTGATATAAACCCCAGTCGCTTTCATTAACGTCTATTAAAACATGCCGTTTTTAGTCAGTCCATCTTTTTTCATTTCGACGCCAAATAGTCTCGTCGGTTGAACAGTGTCATTAAATGGACTACAAATGAAACTGAAAGTGTAAGAAGAAATCAGAACGATTTGGCATTTATACTTGAAGAATACAAATTTCCCACTGTGCAATGTTTCTATTGGAAGCAGAATAAAATAATTACTTGGCATAAACAGCGCCAAGCAATTTCCTATGTCTCGTCCTTAATTGAACAAGAGTGGAAAGCTGTTCTCCAGATTTATGTTGCAGATGTGTTTTCTTACAGAATGTATCGAAGTTAAAATATTTGGGAAATCAAATTTAAGCCACATTAACGGGTATATATTAAGTCCAGATTCAATTCGGCGAATGCTTGGTAGCATTCAGTTTAGAATATCTAATCTTCCACTTTCACACCTAAACAAGTAGAGATTAACACAGACGTAAAAAATTAATACAGCCCTACAACTTCTAGCAAATATCAGACTGCTTCATTCTACTGATCGCAGATGAAACACTGTTCGACGAGCAGAACCACCCATCCCGTTGTGCAGTATTTTTTTTAACTCGGCGCAAATAATGTGCAGTAATCACACTGACAAACGATGTGATGATGGCGATCCTTTCATTTATTCTTGGTAAAAGTAATTAAAATTGTTACTTTATTAAATAAACATCTCGCGTCATCTTTTAGAATTCGCATGCATTATTAACGAATGTGAAACTATCAGACATAATGCAAAGATACAGACGCGTTCTGACGAGTCGGTTGGTTCGTTTCGCTTTCGGAAATGCCAAGACATTTAGCAGTATGAACTTTCTGTCTGGTCTGAGTCTGGCCAACTGTAAAATATAGACATATGTGAATGACTTCAAAATGCTATTTTTATCTTTCGTGCCTTAAAAATGTTGACTGTCTGTCCGATTGGAGAGGAAATTTTCAAATAAAAATGGGAAACTTGTACCCGCCTCTTAATGTAAAAATCTGAAAATATTTTACATTAAAGTTTAATGTTTTACCTTGTCCAGAACTGTCCGACGATCTGAGAAATTGCGACTGTCTTGGTATGATATGAAAACTGCCATGTGTATAAGCCTGAATATTTGGAACTCTGTAGAAATAAATCAAGTCTTCAGAGTTAGGCCCAGGATTTATAGAAAGAGATCGAGGCCTTTTGTGTTTATTGGGGCCTCAGTGCTATTGCCCTTAAGAGTACAAATAACCACACCATCAACCCACAATCCCGATTGCCAAATAGACGGTGTTCTTCAAAAGCTGCTCCTAGCAGTATCTTGAAACTAGCCCGGCTTCTCTACTCTTATTCTTTTCATGGAGTCCCGTTTATAGCTCTGGATTTTTGATGGTCAAATAAAACTTTTAACTGAGGTCAGCTGATGTTAATCTAGCCTTGCCATCATAGTTATCTTCTTTAATAAACCAACTCTGGATATGTAAAGCATATTGAGGTTACAGTATTATTAAACGATTTCATTGAGCGAAGTTCCTTGAGAAACAAATAGTGGCTCAGCTAACCAACAAATTTCCCCAGCTCTGTGCTTCATTACCGTATGTACAAAAATCCATCATCATTCATACCCATCGTGAGTGAAGTCTAGTCCACCAGTAAAATAGATCCCTGATTATGGGGACGAAGAAGTTTGCTGAAACGTTTGTTGCTGTTGACCACTTGAAGCAGCTGATGGCCCGAGAGGATTTTTATTGTGATTTATGCACGTGTTGCAGAGTTGGAGCCCAGCTTCCCGTACCGCGATGTGACCATCCGACGCGGAGTGGACATGAAGGAGCTGTATGACCTCCAGTCAGAACTTGGCAGGTAAGGAGCCATCTGGCAATGTTGTGCTCTCCAGTTTTCGCCATGTTCTCTCAACAGTACGTCTGTCTTGAGTCGTGGAGAGTCGTTAAATTTTGGTCCGATTTGCTGTCTCATGTCTTCTCGTAACTTAACTTTATACACTTCGGGTACAAAGCGGGTAGGGGGGAAGAGGGAAGAGGGGCCAACAGGTAAGTTTTCTGTCCTCAGGAAGCAGGATTCAGCTTCCAAAATTTTGTAATTTTATAATCTTATAATTTAGACGATGTTATAATGCACCATCGTCAGAGGCCTTCACACTTCGGTGTTTATGTTGTTTTCGCTTTTAATAAGTTTTCCATGACGGTGACAGGGACTTTGTTATTTACATGTAACTTAAGCAAATTTGTGAAAGGATTTGTCAGGATCAACTTTAATGTTCGTATGGTATTTATAAACGCTGTAACATGTATATAAATTACCGTGGCGTATTTTAAAGCACGCAGACATGTTCCTGAAGGGTCTGAGAAATTCCACGAAAACCTCAGTCATGATAGTCCCCCTCCCGGTTTGAAACTCGCAAGTTTCACTTGTGAATACAAGCCGGAGCGTTGCTCGATAGGGCCATTACGTTTCAAGCAAGAATGGACGCTAAAATAATGTACGATAGATATGCAGTTCTTTTTCTTTTGTCCCATATTATCGGCAGATTAACTAAGAAACTGTATTGAACAGAGCCATCCTTGAGAAGCTACGATAGTCATTCAGCTTATCAAGAAATTTCCCACTATTTGTAGAAACAGAAAGTTCATTGCCATGATCAAGGGCCGGCCACTGGATCCTATCCTTAGCCCTTTTATCCTTTTTTTCGAAGTCCAGTCTATTAGCATTCTCCCATCTGCGCCGAGGTCTTTCAAATGGTATTTTCATTTTAGACTTCCCGACCAGAATTGTTTAAGCATTTTTCATCTATCATATCTACCTGTCACATGCCACGTGTCGCTCATCCTCCTTAATTTGATCACTCTTTTGATATTTGGTGAAGACCATAAATTATGAATTTCCTGATTATGTGCTTTTCTGGAGGCTCGTATCAGTAGATGATAAATATTATAAATGCGAATTGTGTTTAACTTTCTCACTTGGCTTCACCGCAGTGCAAATCAAAAGGGCATTAACCGCAATCATCATGATAAAACCTGGTACTTGTCAATAAAAGTGTCTTTTATTGCCTCGTTCAATTTAAAAACTGGTCCCATGCGTCATACGTGATTTGAGGCGCACTGCAGAACCGCTTCACTCAGCCATTGTGTTTATTTTCTCACGTGTAAAAAACAAATGCCTGCCCAGTTACTCACGCTGCCTTTTTGCCCTTGCCCAAATTTATTTAAGATGCGTTTTATCTTCTCCATGTTTCTACACGTTATCCCAATATATCGGTCATCGATTGAAATTCAAATGTTGATGTGTATCGCGTATATTGACATTAATAGCTTTTCAACATACTCGCAGATATTCATTCACGAATTCTTAATCCATTTCATAATGGAACATTGTTCACGCCGAAACAAAAGAACGGCTAAAATAACAGATTGTTGCTTTTTATATATTTACGCGTATAAATAAAACGTGATAAGTGAACGATTCCAAACTGAGTGGTATCAGTCATTCGCCGAATTGGATATGCTCTTTTTATGAATCCGACAAAGAATAAAGTTCAGGGTTCGATAACGAGAAATTAATTCATTTTAGTTGACACAGCTTGGAAGATCTCAGTAATGGACAGTCTTAAAAGGGTTCTTGGGGAAATAAATGTTTTAAAGATGAGAACTGAATTTTATTGTGCATATAATTCTGTTAAGTGGCCTACTTCACTCATCGGGGTCCCTCCCTTAAACCTTCAGACTACGTCGCTCCTTAGTTTGCGCAGAATTGCGCAGTCTATGGTTGCTATGACGTCGTTCTGGAGGGAGGAAGTAATTAAACTGGGTGTGTTTCGGCATTATATAGCCCTCTCCGAGCCTTGGCCTTTCTCTAAAATATTTTCTTACAGATTTCCTCAAAATATTTAGACAAAATAGTAATTTGAAAGTGGCTTGGCCTTCTCAAGCAAGGGCTTTGACTATACGGCACAGAAAGACGTGGACAGCCATTCATGGCTTGAGTAGGGTATCAACCCACGATCCCAGAGTTCGAGCGTTCAAGACCCACGCCTTGGAGCTTGGGGTCAGAAATCACAGAACTGGCATGCTAAAAATAGGATATGGAACACCTCTACGTTGACGAGCGGATGTTCTCGTCAACATGGCATTCCATCTGCTGTTTAAGTGTATGAAGCACATTGTAAACGAAACTGACTCAAGCCAGACGGCAAGCCGATTGCAGAAATATGGGCAAAGTTTTCGAGGGCGCACGATGATGATTGCGGTGGAACAACCGCGGTTCGACTCCCGGCAAGACGTAAGAGATTTTTCTGTTAGTTAAAACTGGCTCTGGTGTCCACCCAGCCACCATCCTTTTGGTAGATGGGGGGCCTTCCGCTTTAAACCCTGGGGCTCTTTCCCCGGGGTTAAAGCGGAAGGCGCGTGAAGTTAACCACACACCTCCGTCTACAGCCGAGGTATTTAAGTAAAATGGTACTTAAAATTAAAACGCGCAGGTAAGTACTGTGTTTCAAGTATTTTTAAAATCTGTTGAAGGACTGAAAAGCTAAGCTTCAATGAGATTTTATGCAGTCTTAAGTTTAGTGACTCTTAAGCCTATAATTAATTGAAACAAATCAAAGTTGTGACTGTTAATATTTGAAAATATAAATAATTTGTTTGAAGTTTCATCACAATATTTGAAAGGACGCAGTGCGCAGCCCTGCGTATGTGTTTCTTTATGTATTAAGTTATAATAATGTTCGCCTATAAATAAACGAAACAAAACCAATATGCAGAATGAGTCAGACTTAGGTCCCGATTTAAATAAATTGAAAATCTGAAATGAACAAAGCTGCGGAAAATATACAAAGCACAACGTATTGGTGAAAAATTGAAGTTTATTTTTACAACTAAATTTTATGGTTGCCCCGAATAATGCGACATACGTCCGATTTGTGTCCAAGTTTATCTTACACGCGCAGCGTCATCAGCGGGAAATGCTGGAAGCCTACAAATGACAAAAGAAACTTGTAATATGCCTCCTATCATATCCGTAGCTTTGTTCACTTCAGAATCACGATTTATTTAATTCAGAACTTAATTATGATTCATCCTGAAAAAATGAACGCCTTTTCTCGCCATGCCGATTTTAATCGCAACGCTTGAATTCGCGGACAGAGAGACAAACAGAAGGGTCAAACGTTACGTAACTAATACATTCTTTTACGATTTCATCTTTTATAAACGCACCTAAAACTGCAAATTTTTTCGTGAGATCTCCGAGTAAATATCTGAGTGGGAAACAACCAGCAACACAGAACAAACAGGCTCATTTAGGTCATGGATTACTGAAACATGTAGCATGGCTGTAACTATGTGAAATGCTACAGGTCAGAAACATCGTTATTTTCCGTATGACTGTTTGCTTTGGCAAAAATTCAGAGCCGTTACATTCTATTGTGAATGATGGTTTAGAGAATGAACGGAAAACCAACATCTTGTTATAAACAAGTTCAGAATTGCACCCAATCTTCGTCAGCAGTGCTAGCAATTTGGAAGAACGGAAATCCAGTACTTTCATAGGATCTGCAACTCTTCTGGCTCTGACGCATGTGTTGAGGAAATAACCAGGTGCTGGATCCCCCTCACACACATCCGTGTGGGGAATCCCTTAACGACATCACCCAGCCAGACATTCCTACCCACGACAGGGTCATTTGCCTCAGACAATTCTTGTTTTTCTTCGAAGAGATATAAGGCCCTTGTTTGACTTCACGAACATCCTCTCATTACTAGCTACTTACTAAGAGATTATTCAGGAATGAAAATCTAGAGACAATAGAGCCTACACGCCAGAACTGTTACACATGCGTACATTTCCTAACTTATTGACTTTACTCTCTTTGTTAAGCTGCCTGCTGAGAAGAAGTATGTTTTGTTAACGCCTTCTGTTATGGTTTGACGAACTTCCTGACTTCATGGTTTTCGTCTGGTGATGCGAAGGACTCTGTTTCTCGAGACGTAGGCACAAGAACCCACGAGGTGGGTCACGTTACTCCAAAGGACAGAAAAATCAATCATTTGTAAACCTACTCTTCATCAAATATAAGTATGATCGAATCAAGGAATGCGAACATTTCTATAGCTTAGACTTGAGGGGAGAAATGACTGCATGGCATTCCAAGCTTTCATGTTAGTCATTCCTGGAGATGTTAACAGCTGCTTACGTGCTGGCTTTTTGTGTAGATTGCTGCATCACATTTCTGGCGATTTTAATTGTGTAACATTTGTTGTTCGCGCGTCATCTTGTGCCTTGAGATTGTGCATAATGTAAGATGAAGTACGATGTACATACTCAGTTTGAAAAATTTTCAATGCCCCTTCCCCTCGCCTCGGGGTTTGGCTACAATTTTTTTTAAAAATTTGCGCTCCGAAAATGCCACCCAGAAATTCGTAAGCAATTATTATTTCAGCCCAGCCAATTATACTTCCGAATTTAGGAAGGCGTGAAGCCTTGACCTCCTCTTCTCCATATATTTGAATGGCGTAATGCCTAGGATCAAGGGTACATTCATGTGCCCATTTGTAGGCATCGGAATACATAGCAGCCGTAGATTACTTTAGAATGTTTGTTGTATTTGGCCTTGGAAGGGGTTTCGGAGATTTCCTTCTGTAGGGATGCTTTTGTAAATAAACCGTATGTGACATCGCGCAGGAGATGCTGGCGTAATAGTCCTCGACGCTGCTTTCACCTCCCACGGACTGTCGTTCTCCTTGAGGCAAAAATAATAGACAGCGCATAACTCCTATGTCATACTGTGTGTAGTAACAACACTGAGTACAATTTGATGTATATTGGCATGACTGCCTCCTTCGCCA